CCGATTTTTTTTTTTTTTAATTGACATTTTGTCGATTATTATTAAACCCATTCTTTGGTAGTCAACTAGGTTAGTAGTGTATTTGTTGTAATTGGGTATAATGGCCAGTCAAATATATGCAGATACATGTATATATAAGTAAATATCAATATATGAATGCGTGCAAGGATGTCAAATGAATCCGGTCGAGTTACTCGGCTCGTCTCAACCAATCACTTGAGGTTACTCCCCCATTTTTTTCTTAATGTCATCAAAATAAATTCGAATTAATACATGAGTGGAAATATAGTCCTCGTTTGACAATCATTATTTGAATTTTTTTATTTTTTTTTACATACTTGTTTTCAACTATATATTTGCGTAGTAAAATATTTTGCACGTAAATTCAAAACTTTTTCTACTTTTTGACCACTCGTTCTTCTAAATTTTACCATTCAAAACATTAATTTTTTAAACTATGGTAGTCAATCAAGGACATAAATAAGTTAATAAATTAAGTCCTTGTTTGAGTTCCATTCTTTAAAAAAAATATATTTTTAAATAATATTTTAACATCATTTTAACTACACATTTTTCAATAAAATAATATTATATGCAAATTCAAAAAAAAAGTCTTATTTTTAACCATATATTTTCCATCAATAGATTATTCAAAAATTTATTTTCTCTCCCAAAATGGGGGTTCAAACAAGGGCTACGGAAAGTTTAAAAAAAAAAAAAAAGGCAACTGTTTAAACAATTGAGAAAAAATCAGTTTCGGTCCAGTCAGGTTTAGTCAACCTGTCTTCTAAAACTCAAGCTCTCACGCGAAGAACAATTAACAATAAATTATTATTAAACATAGAATAAATTGAAATTTATTATCAAGAACACCTTTAAGTGTTTTTATTGAATTTATTTATTTTCCATTGAAGGTAACGCTCTAAAAATCTCTAATTTGACTGCAATAAAATTTGAAATAAGAATTATTCTTTGTTATAAAGTTATGTTTGCTTTTTTAAGTTTATTTTGTTAAATATTGAGAAATTTATTTAAAGTATCTCTAATTCAGAAAATGTTCGTTAAAAATTAAGGATTTTTTTACTATAGTCCTTAATACATCTATCCCATTGTGTAAAGTTCAAATTCATTGTCTTGTTCAAAGTTTACTATGCGAAATTTTCTTACACTCTGCTCTTTCATTCATTTATTCTTTAAATCAAGTTTACTTGTTTTATGATACTAATTTACCTAAATTTTTAAATTTAAAAACTCTTAAATGGTACAATTTAACAGTGACAAGTCATTTTTTTTTTCTTAAAAAAAAAATTTGAAATCCAATCCAATCGCTAGAACTGAAAAATAATAAGTCCAATGAAAAACTCATCATAATTCAAACTGATAGCCTGTTTCAGCCCCATTTTTCTTTAAGAATATTTTTGAATGGTAGAATGATGGAGATTGTGTGACTAAAAAATAAAGAAATATTTTGAATTTGTATTTAAAATTATTTTATTGAAGAATGTATAGTTGAAAATAAGAGAGGGAGAGATGTATTTTGAAAATAATGTAGATCAAACAACAACTAAGTTCACGAACATAACTTTCTCTGGATAAACTTATTTGTGATTTGAAAAGAATGAAGGATGGACCGCACTAATTGTGTGAAAATGTTAAAATTTCCTAACTAGTACTACTATATTATACTTCCATAAAGTAGTTAGAGGATAAATTTTGTCAATTCTCAATAAGTTGAAACTCTATCAATCTTTGTATATCGAAACATATCTTGTTCAATCCTTATTTAACATCTCACTAATAAAACGAAAGGAGTTTTAACCAAACTATAATAACAGAATGTAACTCTACATTTACCAACCCTTATATGATAATATGAATGTCAAATTAAAAAAAGGGAAATAAAAATGAAAAAAACATATATTTATTCTATTAACATCTTTTAGCAGCCAACTTTGAAAATAATTTATTCATGGGTATCATAGTAAATATGAATGTGATTTAACATTTAACATTATTAGTTTTCATTTAAACTTATATTTATTTTATGTTCAATACATCACTATAATGTCAAAAGGTAATCCGCGGATTAAAATCGAATCAAACCACAAATTATGGTTTGATTTGGTTTGTTTCGAAAAATAAAATGGTTTGGTTTGGTTTGAAAAAATTTCAAATTGCATAAAATGATTTGAGTTAAAAATATAGCACAAACCGTCCAAATCGAACCACGTTCACCTCTAATTTATGGGCACCTATTTTCCTCTTTTTTTTTTTTTAATACACTGGTTATTACATTAACGTTTTATGATATTCGGCATAAATTTTTATTATGTATTGATTCTAATAAAAAGATCGTATTATTTACTTTGTTGGAATTTGTTCAAAAATTGGTTAAGTATAAAACTGGAAAAATGAAAAGGTGTGACTTCGTGTCAATTTCGATCGAATATTCGAACTTGATCTGATGGTCAAATTATAAAAGTAAATAGATCAACTTGTTCTATTCGTCGAATATATCGTCTTAGTATATTTGAAATCTCGAAACCGATTCTGCATGAATGAGAAATTGCGGTCCAAAGTTGAAAGAATGAAGTGTTGTAATTTTTCGAAAAGATGCAGGCTTGAAATGAAAATATTGCAACTTTTTCATGAAAATGCTGAATTTGGGTTGTGTCTCTTCACCCACATCCTTTCAACTTCTATATATAGGACCCCTTGGACCTTCATTTGAAATTCCATATTATTTATTTCATGTCATGTTGCATCAAATACTTTGTAGAAGTGATTATATTTTGCATCCAAATCATGGTTATGGTAGAGAGGGAATTTCGTTCGAGTTCGTTGGTCGAAATCATTTAGAGTGTTCCTATAACTTGACGTGGTCGTTGTATTTTAAGAGATGATCGTCGAAAAATCGTTAGCACTGATGTGGAACAAATTCATCTTAAGAAAAGAGTGTTAAACACTTGTTTCGGCCAATCGCATCACTTGCATCTAATTTTCCTTATTTCCAATTTCTTTCATCATATTTGATTTCAGAAATTAACTAATATTCTTTAATTTCATGTAAGGTTGAAATTCAAGAATGGGAATGGATGAATCAATATTCATGTGTTCGGAATCAGATTTGATAAGTCGAAACTTTGATTCGAATTCGTAAATGTATAAAGTTCGTTTTATAAATATAATATGCACAATATCGGCATAATTTTCCAACATACTTTGCCAAAAACATTTTATTCACTTTGATCAATTTGGAGATAATAGCATAGAAAGAAGTCACTAGAAGAGAATTGTAGAGTCAACAATTTATTTTTTTGAAAAATAATTTTGTTTTCAATAAATTTAAAACAGAAGAAAAACAAGTTTTTTAGAAGACTTCGAAATAGCAACAGTACCCGCATCAAATAGACACGTGCAAACTTAACTCGCGTGGGGAGCAATTTTATGAGGTATCCTCAAATTAAAAAGAGAAAGCAGGAAGATTGACAAACGACCAATGCGGCGGAGCAATCAACCCGGGAAAGCCTGTCCAATCTTCGAAATTACACATGAAAAGTTTGAGGCTTCCAAAAAAAAAAAAAAAAAAAGGGTGAAAAAATAAAATAAAAATATGGTCGGTTTTCGTTGTACTTTTCGTTTTGAATTATCGTAGCGCCAGAGCTTTTCGATAGCATGAAAGACAACTCGTTCATTATGAGCTTTACTTTCCTGTTTATTAATGTAGTCTTAAGTTCAATTATTAGAATGAGGACCATTTCAGGATGAGTAAACCTAATTAAGAAAAACAATAGTATTACTCGACACCCATTTAGACGACATGGGATCACTTTGGTTGTTTAATAAATTAAAATACATTCGGAATTTATCAAAATAAATAAATGTCAGTTCTTAAAATGATTTAGATTGATATTAAATAGCATTATTCCAAGAGATAAAAAGAAGAAATGGATTACTTACGATGAAAATTGTGTTAACAAAGAATAGAAATAAAAAATAATAAATCTTGCAATGAATAAAAATACTATTCTTCTTTGTTAAAAAAAGTTGCAAAATTAGGTTTGAAATAAGAACTAAAATGATAAGAGACAACACCTATCTTAAGAATTGGGGGAAAAACTTGAATGTTCATTGCTCGAGTCAAAAAAATTTATTATCATAAGACTAGTTAATTAAAATTTCAAATAATAATTATGATCCAAAATTGAATAATTCTCCTTTATAAAACAATGATAGATAACAAATCCATTTAACTACGCTCTTTCTTTAACCTTGATACATTTTATATACGATTTGAAAGTTTGGTACCCGAATATACAAAATAGGCTTGGATGAGTCCTATGTTTCTTGAACCTATCTAAACAATTAGGATTGCATGGAATTGGCTTCCCTTAAACTAAAATGACAACAGACACAAAACCTATCTTCAGAACTAAGGGAAAAATACTTGAATGCTCATTTCTTGAGTAAAAAAAAAAAAAAAATTATTAACATAAGACTGGTTAATTAAAAGTTCAATTAATAATTATGATCTAAAATTGAATAATTCTCTATGTAAAACAAGGATAAATAACAAATCCATTCAACTGCGCTCTTTGTTGATCTGTTTTACATACAATCATTTGAAAGTTCCGTTCGGCTTTGATGAGTCCTATGGTTATTGAACTTATCTAAACAATTAGGATTGCACAGAATTGGACTTCCCTTAAATAGATCAACCTGAGATTGATCATAGAATTGACCAGAATTGAAACGACTATCATGTTTGAATTTTTTTCCCTAACTATTCAAAAATTTGAACATCCATTGGAATCATCCAAATTTTTGTTTTTGGTTGAGCAGTGGTCAAATGTCAACCAGAAATCTCTGTTTCCTGTGGATTCGGTCCGTTTCATGCCAAACCTATTCCTTGTCCATTCCATGCATCCTAAGAATAGTCTCAAACAGCCTCCCAGAATGAGTTAATATACCATACGTAACACCCCCACCGTAACACCTGCATTTACATAAAAATTAAATGCTACTTTGAAAAGAAAAACAAAAACCATTAACTCACCATCAGTTTCGCCACGAACAAGCTCATTTCAGTGCCCTCTTTCTTTTTATCCTCTTTTTCCTCCATTTTCTTCATCCTTTTTGTCACTCTCATCAGGTAACTAACACAAATTCTTACATAAATGAAAAGGATTTAAATGTTTTTAGTTAATTGTTATTCATTTTGCTGTGTAATTTACAGGAATTATTTTTTTTGTTATGGAGTGCATTGAAGCAAGAGCGTTGAAATCGAGCTTTCTTTCTCAAACTTCCATGAAAGCTAATTCCCAAGTGCTGTTCAACGATGATGGGTGGTGTCTGACAGGAATTAACAGCGGTGCATGCGATGATTTTCCGGTTGAAGACCTTCTTAATCTTGATTTTTCTGATAAGGATTTTCAAGAGGGGTTGTTTTTTAATGAAGATGGACAAGAGAAGGGTGTGCAGTATAGAAATTCGAATTCTTCCTCTACTTTGTCCGGCACAGACGAGTTTGATAACGTCCCCTCCGGTGAACTTTCCGTTCCGGTAACGAAAATATTATAATTTTGGAACAAAGAAAAAATTCTTTTTTTTTTTTTTTTTGAAAAAAGAAATGAAAAAGGAAAAGAGAACCCAACTTTTGAATTTGTTTCCAGGTTGATGATTTGGAGAATCTCGAGTGGCTTTCGCAATTTGTGGATGATTCTACGTCTGGGCTTTCATTAATATCTCCCGGCGAAAGTTTCATGGAGAAGGCCGGAGAATTTTCGGAGAATCGAATTGTGCCGGTGAGTAGACCAGCTGTTCAGAATATCCGAGTTCCGTGTTTACCGTTGCGGGTTCCGGTAAAAACAAGGAGCAAACGGCAAAGGCCGAATGGGAAGACTTGGTCCTTGTCGTCGCCGTCGTTGAGCGCCTCCGAGTCGTCTTCTACGACATCGTCTTCAATTGGGTCCACGTTGTCTCCTGTTGTATTAAAAAACCTGGTTCATGACATGGACAGGTTTTCCTACTTGGAAAAACCGCCGGCGAAAAAGCAAAAGAGAAAACCAAAGGCAGAAAACGGTTCAGTTTCGGGCGGTTCCCAGACTCTTCGTCGGTGTACCCACTGTCAAGTTCAGAAGACTCCACAATGGCGCACCGGACCGTTAGGTCCTAAAACATTGTGCAACGCTTGTGGCGTGAGGTACAAGTCCGGTCGGCTTTTCCCTGAGTACAGACCGGCTTGTAGTCCCACTTTCTCTCAAGATGTCCACTCGAATAGTCACCGTAAAGTTTTGGAAATGCGGGAGAAGAAGGAGATAGTTGAGGTGACCGATGCCGGCCTGACACCAGTCGATCCGTTTTTCTGAGGTTTAGTATTAATTATGAACCGGTTTTCGGAAACCGGTCCGGTTGGTCTAGCTCGGCTGCGTCTCAAATTTACAATTTTGGTGGTGGACAGTAGGCTGGTAGGTGGTGGACGTAGATTTTCAACGGAAATTATTATGAAGGTTAAGAATTTAGGTTTTAATTTTAATTAAATTAAATTTATTTACTTGCAGTTTTAAATTAATGAAGAGAGTCCTATAATTAGGTTTAATTAATTAAATTCTGGATTATGAGTCTGTTAATTACTCTTAATTGTTTAAAATTTTTGGAGAATTCGAAACGGTCGAGCGGTTTTTGGTGGATAATTAACATTGAAAACGTGAAAAGTAGCACAAGGTTTTGGTGCACTCAATTGATTTGGGCCCATTTGGTTTCACTTTCACGTCAATAAGTGGATTGGAGCCCACGTTAGTTGTGTGGTCTCACTTACCCACTTCTTGTGGATTTTGAAAATTAAAATATCTCCTTCAAATGATAAATAAATACAAATTTTCACTATTTTTGAATTTTGCACTATTATTTTTTATTGTAATAATACTTAAAAATGTACAAGACAATAGATAAATAATTTGCAAAGTGATTATAATCAAATCACATTTCATCAAATATATTTGGATTATGCTATTTGTCCAGAAAAGACATTTAGAAGGCGTGCCAAAAATGATATATGTTGAAATGATTGGATGCAAAAGTTGACTTTATTTTAATTGATCACTAAGGGTCCGTTTGATTGCAAAAATGAAATTGAATTGAATTGAAAATGAATTTCAGGGAATTGAATTGTCTAAAAATTGTTTTCTTGAGAATTATAAATTATTATGTTTGATTGGTATAATTTTTCACGTAGAAAATGTTGAAATTTTGAATCTTTTGGTGTTCGTTTGATCTTGTTTTTCATGAAAATTATCAACTAAATAGATAATTTTTTTATTGATAGCTTTTGTTTTCATGGCTGAAAAAAAAAAATTGGAAAACCGAATTCCCACCAAAATGGTGGGAATTGGTTTTCCACCATTTCAAGGAAAAGGCACATGTGTGGGGGAAAATGTGGAAATCGAATTCCTTAGAAAATTTGGCAATCAAACACCACATTTTGGTGGAAAATGTGTCCAATCAAACATAGCCTAATAGAGTGTCATGTGACATTATGTAAGGTTTAATATATATGTAAAAAGGTCTAGTATATTTTTATTCACACTTCAATTTCATGGGACTCACAATTTATAATTACTTAAATTTTAATTTATTGACTTCCCAAACAAACATTCACAAAGCAATCCAGTTAAGAATAATTTCAGTCTAGGTATGAATGAATGGGGTCCGTTATCATTGATCAAAATTAGTAATACTATCAATAAATAATTGTTCTGTACAAATTTGAGTATTTCAATATTAATATTTAGCTCGATATGTTGAACAAATTACTAATTTAAGTAGGACTTGAGCATTTAATTGCAATCAATTGAATCTGATCATTCAATCCACCAATTTTTGTGAGTGGGTGACTAGTCAGAGTGCCTTATTCTTCAATGCAAGAGAGAAAAAATAAAAAATAAAAGCGAGAGAAGACCGTATTATTGAAAGAAGCACCAATAGGGTATTGGCATTGATATTGAAGATTAAATTGGAGTGATGATGACATTAATTGATGGGCCTTCTCGTGAACAATTGTTGTGCCTAAAAGTTACGCTCAGACACAGGCATACCATGTGGGAGTTGGCTGGGCATCATTATATGTAGATGTTTGATTATTTTCAATACCACTTAGATACATTTAAACTAAAAATTCAAAATTAATAACTGATTTTAATCATATATTTTATGAGATCCACAACTTTTTAACCACACATTTCATCATTTTTTATAAAAATATACTAAAATTTTGATTCCATACAGGGGTTATAAGTGAAAAATTAGACTATTCTGGTTGTTTAGAAGAAACTATAATCTTTAAAAATTCCACGAGATGTGTGATTAAAATTAATATTTGACTTTTAACTTCACGTTATTAGGAGATTATAATAAAACCCAAATAAGTTTTTAGTTTATTTAAAAGTTTCGTTTAGGTCACTAATTCCGATTTAGCAAATAAGTTGGAATGTATTACCCTTTTTTATTTTACTATAAAAGAATATTCAACACGGAAGTTCTCCACATTGAAGTCACGTCATTAGTTCTGCACCACAATTTGTTTTGCTCAAGAATGCCTGATGTAGTTATATATGTACTTGATTTGAACTCGTAAGCCCAAAAATGTCCGATGTATTTGTATATATATTTTTATCAATACAATTCACATTTACCGATCAAAAAAGAGAAAAACAAAGTTCAATAACTAACGTGAAACATTGTTACAAGTGTTTATAACCTGTCTCTAAAAAGTTTTATTTATTAAGAAAACTCGAGTATTTTAATTGAACATTTTTTATTTCACAGAATCTAACTCTACCCTAATGTTAGTTTCATAGAAGTTCTCAAAAGAAATATAAGATTTTGAGAAATTACTCAGTTATTGACGTAATTTTGAGCGAACGTTCTTGAATGAGGTGCAAAATAATAAACAATTCCATGTCCTCTCGTTTTCATTCACAACTTATACGACATTCTGAAAATTCTTATTCGACGAAAATACAAAACATAGGATCTCAAGACAGCCTAGAGTTGAACATTATTCTGGTTTTCATTCTCACTTTGAATTTACTCTCTGGTTCTTGTATTTGTCAGGGGTGAGTAGGGTAGCAAGATATTTCTATCCATTCCGGGTATTGGGAACCATTCATTTAGATAAATACAGCTGGGAGAATAAAAATCTTCAGAATATTTAGTGGACTATTCTCAATCACTAGGCACAACTTTTGGTTGATATGCCTTATTAATAATGTTATGCTTTATTTTAATTTTTCCTTTTATATTGATAGTCTTAGGATATAAAATTTGGGACAAAAAAATCACATTTCAAGTGTTATGTTTACCTTAATTTAAAAATCAAGTAAATAGTTTGAAAATTCAAAAATCAGGTCTGTATTTAATTTATTAAAAATATTTGTTAAATAAAGATAATAAAGTTATAGTTACATGATTAATGGTCACAAATTCATAATTATAGGTTACAGATTTATTTATTTGTCACATATCTTAAAATTAATTTGTCACAAATTATTTCGTGGTCACAAATCAAAAATTTTGTAGGTTACATATTATTTCGATATCACAAATCATTCAAATTACAAGTCAAATTTTATCTATGGATTACATAAGTCATAGTTTATTTAGTCACAAATTATTTTTTTAGTCACAAAAACGTAATATTTAATCACAAATCAGCAAGGTCATAGACGCCTAAACTGTTGGTCACAGACGCTAAATTGTTGGTCACAGACACCCCACCCGTCAACGTCATCGCCACTACAACAACCACCACCACCATCATCAGCAACACAACAATAGTTGGGCACCACCACCTCCAAAACCATTATCACCTCACCAACATGAATATCACTGCCTCCTACATCCACCATCATGAGCACCACGGTGCCGTACCACCACCGCACAATGCACCACCCAAAGTACACCACCACCCATTTCCTTTATCTCCATTTACACCACACCTAACCACCATCCCCATAAAAGAATCCACAAACGCGCCACCACCACCTCAAAAACGCAACAAAACATGTTGAAAAATCACACCACACCTCCAAATTCAACAACCACCATAACCGTTACCACAAAACCTCCACCACACAAAGAACTATCCAAACCCCGCCCAAATGCCAACCACCACCAAAAATATGCCACCACCATCACCACACAAGACATCGTCCAAAATTTCAAATCCTCTTCATTATAGTCGCCACCACAAATTCGCTTCTTCATTACAGCAACTCGTCGAAGTAGGTGAAACTGCTTTGCCTCTTCATTTTACCGCCACAACTCATCGGAGTGGGTAGATCTGTATCACGATGGATCTACTTTGCCTCTTCATTACAGTAGCACTGCGGTACTGCAGCAGCTGCTGCTTAACTGGTAGCGATGGGTGCTTTGACGGAGAGAAAGAGGAGAGGAAGATACAGGCAGGGAGATGAAGGGACGATGGGGAGTTAGAGTGAAAATAGATTATTACAGTTTAAAAATGGCTTGAATTCTGATGGTCTCGTGTCGACACTTGGAGTCAGAGGTGTCTTCGGTGACGGTCGCACCTTGACGGTGACAGCAATCAAAGGATAGGATCGAGAGAGAGAGGGATATGATAAGGGAAGAAAATGGGGAAATGATTAGGGTTTTAATTGAATTGGATGGATTAATTATATATAATACCTAATTTTTGCATAAGTAAACTTCATTCCTTGAATTTTGAATTTGAAAGTTTAAATACTTGATTTTATGTAATTTCCTTAAAAGTTGCATGTTTCTTGGTTAAAATAACTCTTATGGTCCCTGAACATATGCTATTGTTTCTAATTAGTAACTTTTCTTTAATTTTTTTGATGAAGTCACTGAACTTTGGAATTTGTTTCCAAATCGTCCCTGTATCCATCCATGTTAGATTTGATTTGTCAATTGGCAAGGAAGATGTGGCATTGACCACCTTGTGTAAAATCGCTCCACTTAACACACATTTGGAAGAATTTTACAAGCGAATAAAAAAAATAAAGGCCAAGCAAACTTTTGAAGATGAAAATAATGTGGATTCAGAACATTGCTTTGAAAATTGCCTAGTGATCTCTTTACGGAAATCATGGATGGATTGTTGACAAAATGTAGAGTATTCTCGATGTATCAATGAGTGAGGTTGACTAATATAGTCAAATATATCGATAAGTTGGAAGTTTAGAATAATCACAATAGTGAACGTGTATTCGAATTAGAAAACTATTATGACGTTGGGTAGGATGGTGATTATCCTATTGGCTTGTTGTAGCAGATGATTCGCAAAAAAGAAACGAAAGAAAACACCCAAAAACTAGAGAAAATACTCTGAAATCAACTTAATATTATTAATAATGCAGAATGACCAAAATTAACCCATAAGCCAGGTTAAATAGCTGCAAAATACAAAATTATAGGAAAATTACCAAAAATAGCAAAACCTCGAAATTACACCAGAATAAAATATTAAGTAAAAGAAGTAGGTTGCCAAAGATTTGGCTCAATTTGAGTTTTCTAACATATGGAAAAAGGGAAACGAAATATTACCATAAATAGTAATAAATAACTAAAAATTGAATTTCGGAAAGGAAAATAGCGTACGTTGGGCTCGAAGTTTTTGTCCACTGAGCATAGCTCGAAGGCCACGACATGCGCGCCGAAAGAGCTTTTCGGATTGGGGTCATAATAGCAATTCTGATAACCGTAGCCAAAGTTATGGCCAAATTACCAATGACATGTCAAATTCCCCAAATCAAGGAAATAATTGCGAGTCACTTCCCATCTTTGCGCCGATTCACCATCGCATGGTATCTCAGCTCCATCATCGTGCTATCTGACAAATCAGTATCACTCGACTCAGATCCTCCCGCATCAGTCGTCCCAGGTTGGAAAGAACTCGCCCTCGAGTTCACAGTAGCTTCATCGGACTCCACAAAATAAGGGCTTAGGCGTTTCACATTGAAGACGTCAGAGGTCTTCAAATGGCTAGGGAGGCGCAACCTGTAAGCATTATCATTGATCTTTTGCAGCACTTCACAAGGTCAAATCTTCCGCTCCTTTAGCTTATTGTACTCCCTAGCTGGAAAACGATCACGAGTTAATACTGTCCAAAAAAAATCACCAACATCAAACAACACCTGGCGCCGATAACTATCTGCCTAAGCCTTGGACTTAGTATTACTATCCTGTATGGACAGCTTCACCTGCTCATGGATACCTCGAAGATGTTCAATCATCTCATCAGCTTTGTTATTGAAGCGACCCACACGTGGAATTGGAGCCAAATCAAGTACCCCAGATGGGTTCCAACCATAGACAATCTCAAAAGGACTCAATCCGGTGGTTCTATTCCTCGACCGGTTATAAGCAAACTCTGCTTGAGGTAATGCCAAATCCCAATGCTTCGGTTTAGTCCCTGCCAAGCTTCTCAAAAGATTTCCCAAACTCCGATTCACCACCTCAGTCTGACCATCTGTTTGGGGATGGTATGTGCTGCTAAAATTCAACTTCGTTCCAAGTTTCTCCCATAAACTCCTCCAGAAATGACTCATAAACTTAGTGTCACGGTCAAAAGTAATTGACTGTAGAACACCATGTAAATGCACAATTTCTCTGAAATAAAGATGAGCAATCTGAGTAGCACCATTGTCTTCCGGTAAGCCACAAATGAACCATCTTTGAAAATCTGTCAACCACAACAAGAATGGAATACATCGCCCGCTGTGTACGAGGTAAGCCTAAGACAAAATTCATGCTAACATCAAACCAAGGAGCTTCAGGTACGGGTAATGTCGTGTACAATCCAGCATTAGTAAGAGCTCCTTTAGACCGCCGACGTACATAATACCACTCCACATAATGCACCACATCACTGCTCACCTTGGGCAAGTAATAATCGGAAGAGACCAATGCCAATGTCTTGTCTTGCCCAAAATGTCCTTCATTATAAAGTTCATTAATAATCTGCTGCCTTAGTGAACAATATGGAATGCATAACTGCAATCCATGAAATAGGTAACCATTATGTAATACAAAATCATGTCGGTGATTATCAGTTACTTCCCGAATTATCTTCCCAAATGAAGGATCTATAGTATACATATCAGGAAATGCCTCAAATTCGACAATCTTGGTGCTCATGGCGGTGAGGAGTAATGTGCGACGGCTCAATGCATCTACTACTCGATTCAAACTCCCTGCATGATGCCTTAGTATGAAAGTAAACTCCTGCAAGTACGCCACCCACTTTGCATGTCGCATACTCAGCTTGTGCTGACCATTGATGTACTTCAAGGCCTCATGATCAGTAACAAGGTTAAACTCCCTCTATACCAAGTAATGACGCCAATGCTTCAGAGTCTGAACTATGGCATAGAACTCCAGGTCATAAGTGGAATCATTTTTTTCGATCCCGATAGCTTCTCACTGAAAAAGGCTACTGGACATCCCTCCTGACTCAGAACACTACCAATACCAACTCCAGACACATCACAGTTTACCTCGAACACCTTCTCAAAGTCCGGAAGTGCCAAGACTCGGGCCTCCATCATCTTCTGCTTAACCAACTGAAAGCTAGCCTCTGCCTCCTCGGTCCATTGAAAATCACACCCTTTAAGGTACTCTGTGATAGGAGCAATTAAGGTACTGAATTTTTTGACGAATCGGTGATAGAAGGATGCCAATCCATGGAAACTCTTGACATTGTGCAAAGTTTTTGGTTTGGGCCAATTCAAAACTACCTTAATTTTGGATTGATCTGCATGAATACCATCAGTAGACACAACAAAACCCAAAAAAGTTACAGAAGTTGTGAAGAAAGAATAAGATTGATAAATAAGCGTTCCGTCTTCATTACATCAAAGACAGCATGAAGATGATTAAAATGTGATTCCCATGTCAGACTATAAATAAGTATGTCGTCAAAATAGATTACCACAAACTTCCCCATGAAAGGCCGTAAAACCTAATGCATAAATCTCATAAAAGTGCTGGGTGCGTTGGATAGTCCAAAGGGCATGACCATCCACTCGTACAATCCATGCCGTGTCTTGAACGCGGTCTTCCACTCATCTCCAGGCCTGATTCTGATCTGGTGGTGTCTGCTTTTACGGTCAATTTTTGAGAAGACCTTAGAACCGAACAATTGATCCAACATGTCATCCAAGTGGGAAATTGGAAACATGTACTTCACTGTAATCCTGTTAATTGCCCTGCTGTCAACACACATATATGCCACGACCCATCTTTCTTGGACACTAGTAGAGCAGGACCTGCACAAGGACTCATACTCTCATGAATGTTGCCCCTTTCCAATAATTCTACCACCTGTCGCTGCAGCTCTTTAGCTTCCTTGGGACTGAGGCGATATGCTGGTCGATCTGGTAGACTAGACCCCGAAATAAGGTCGATCTGATGTTGAATGTCCATCATAGGTGGTAATCCTGGAGGAAGATCCTCTGGCATCAAGTCAGAAAACTCCATCAGTAGTTGTTGCACTTCTGCTGGTAATTCCGAATCTACATTCGCTGCACTATTTTCACGAGGCATTAAAGCATAAACTATTTTTTCATGCCCAACCTCAACCAAGAACTTGGACATAGAAAGTAGATTGGTGTTATTAACTACCGGGGCAGAGATGTTTTCTTCCCTGCGAGGTGCCAAAACAATTTTCTTCCCTTTGATGCTAAGAAAATAAGTATTCTTCCGCCCATCATGGATAACGCTTCGATCATACTATCAAGGTCGTCCCAACAAAACATGACATGCGTCCATTGGTACCACATCACACCAAGCATTATCAAAATATTTTTTTCCAATCGAATAAGACACTAAGCACCGTTTTTCTACCGTTACCTCACTGCCTTTATTCAGCCAAGATAATTTGTATGGTTTGGGATGACGATCCATCTTCAGTTGCAGTTTCTCGATAGCCTCCTCATATACTACATTCTCACAACTGCCACTATCAATTATCAGATTGCAGACTTTATCAGCAACTGTGCAGGTTGTGTGGAAAACATTGTCCTCAACCAATCATCCCCTAAATCGCCCTTGGGAGTCAGCAGGCTCTTTCGAATGACCAGGGTGATGCGAACCCCGTAGCAATGGAAACTACGAAACCCAGAACAAGATTGATGCGGAACCCAAAAACGCCAATACTAACCCAATTTTGGATCTTGAACCCCAAGAACTGAACCAAGAAACCTTAGATTAGCGAAAAACCTAAAACCCCTTGATTACAATTAAAAGAACCCACAATCCGATTGTTTAGAACGCCACAAAAAATTGAATCTTGATAAGTTCCAAGATTGTTCAAGAAGAACAAGTAATTAAAAGAACAAATTCTCTCTCAATAAAATTATTCAAGCAAAAGTCAAAAGTCTTTACAGTGAAAAGTATTCTCCTATTTATATTAATGAGTAAAAACGTCCAAAATCCATCAAATTATGGTAATAATTTGATTTCATAAGAATTCTATCGAAACTAGGAAATTCGGCCAAAATTAGAAAATTCGCCAATTTTTTTGGCTTGTGCAGCCGCATGGTGTATTTCCATGCGGTCGCATGGTTCAACAAGAAATGCAATATTTATTTTCGGTATGCCACCGTGCGGCCGCATGGTGTTTTGCCTGTGCGGCCGCACAGGCTTATTTTCAGCCTCTGGATTCGTCGCTTGATAACAAATTGATCCAAGTTGATTCGGCCTTCGACCCGAACATGAAAGTTGCTCCATTTTGAGTCCCGAACATGGTTCCATCAATGGTTTCTTGAACGAGCAATCCCATCACTTGTTTCACTTGCTTTGCCCTGGATCGCGTCATTGGTCCACCATCGACTATCAACGGGTCTCGTCTCGCACTTGCCTTCGTCGGGCTCGACTCCTGGATCATATTATCCCCTCCCTCTTCAAAAGGATTTGTCCTTGAATCTGAACCTGCATCAAACAGAGAGAGATCAGCGACATTAAAAGTAGCTGAAACATTATACTCACCAAGTAAATCCACTTTGTATGCATTGTCATTGATCCTCTCGATGATTTGAAACGGTCTATCGCCTTGTGGTTGCAATTTTGACTTCCTCTGTTCTGGAAAACGCTCTTTTCTGAAATGCACCCAGACCCAATCTCCAAGTTCAAATGTAACGCGTCTTCTTCCTTTATTTGCTTTTGATGCAATCAGCTTTCCTTTCTCTTCGATCTGCATCCTGACCTTTTCATGGAGTGTTTTCACCATCTCGACTTTTTCGTTTCCCATCCAAGCTACCTCGTTCATACACAAGCAAAGGCATTAAATCCATAGGTGTTAGTAGATTAAAACCATAAATAATTTCAAAAGGAGAAAACTAAATAGTAGAATGTGTAGCTCGATTATATGCAAACTCTATAAACGGTAAACACTCTTCCCATGATTTCAGATTTTTATTGATCACTGTCCTAAGTAGTTGAGTCATAGTTCGATTAACTACCTCAGTTTGTCCATCTGTTTGTGGGTGACAAGTTGTAGAAAATAATAACTTAGCTCCTAATTTACTCCACAGAACACGCCAAAAATGACTCAAAAAATTCACGTCCCTATCAGATACTATATTTTTAGGTACTCCATGTAAACATACTATTTTCCTAAAGAATAAGTTTGCAATATTAGTAGCATCGTCAGTTTTATGACATGGTATGAAGTGCACCATCTTACTAAACCTATCGACCACTACAAATATTGAATCCCGACCTCTTTTTGTCCTAGGCAAACCTAACACAAAGTCCATAGATATATCTACCCAAGGTTCACTAGGTACAGGCAAAGGAGTATACAAATCATGGGGTTGAACCTTAGACTTAGCCTTTTTACATGTTATGCACTTTCCACATATTTATTCTACATCATGTCGCATTTTAGGCCAATAAAAATGTTCCCCTAACATGTCTAAAGTCTTTTGAACCCCTAAATGTCCCATTAAACCACCTCCATGTGCTTCCCTTACCAATAATCCACGCAAGGAACAATTAGGAATGCACAACTTATCTTCCCTAAACAAATATCCATCACGCCTATAGAATTTATCAAATGCACATTTGTCACATGAAGCATAAATACTAGAAAAATCACAATCAAATTCATACATGCCCTTAATATGTTCGAAACCAAATAATTTAGTACTTAATGAATTTAAAAGCACGTACCTTCGAGACAACGCATCAACAACTATATTTTCGTTACCTTGTTTGTACTTGATGACGTAGGGAAATGTCTCGATAAACTCCATCCATCTCGCATGTCTTTTGTTCAACTTACCTTGACCTCGCAAATGCTTTAAAGATTCATGATCGGAGTGTATCACGAATTCCTTTGGCCATAAGTAGTGCTGCCAAGTCTCCAATGCCCAAACAAGTGAATACAGCTCTTTGTCATATGTCGGTTAATTCAATGCTACCCCATTCAACTTTTTGCTAAAGTAAGCAATAGGTCTCCTTTCCTACATTAACACTGCTCCTATACCTATTCCTGATGCATCACACTCAACCTCAAATGTTTTATCAAAATTTGGTAATGCCAAAACAGGTGCTTTAAATAGCTTATCCTTAATTGTGCTAAATGAATTTCTTGAGATTCTCCCCAATGGAAACCTACACTTTTCTTTACTATTTCAGTCAACGGTGTGGTGATGGTGCTAAAATCTTTTACAAATCACCTATAAAAACTAGTCAATCCATGAAAACTTCTAACTTCAGTTATAGTCTTAGGTGTTGGCCATTCTTTTATAGCTTTTATCTTTTCTTCATCGACTTCCACCCCGTTAGCACTAACCACAAATCCTAGGAAAACAACTCTATCCATGCAAAACGTGCACCTTTTGAAATTAGCATATAGTTGTTACTTTCGCAACACAACAAGCACACAATTTAAATGTTCTAAATGCTCATCTAGGTTTTTGCTATAGATTAAGATGTCATCAAAATAAACTACAACAAATTTCCCAATAAAAGCATGTAAAACATGGTTCTTTAAACGCATAAAAGTGCTCGGTGCATTAGTGAGTCCAAACGGCATAACTAACCATTCATACAATCCATACTTAGTCTTAAACGACGTTTTTCATTCATCACCCTCCCGCATGCGAATTTGATGATACCCACTCTTAAGATCAATCTTACTAAAAATGCAAGCACCATGCAACTCATTAAGCATATCATCTAGCCTAGGTATTGGGTGAGGATACTTTACCGTGATATTGTTGATAGCTCGGCAATCCAAGCACATTCTCCGAGTCCCGTCCTTCTTAGGCACCAGCAAAACTGGTACAGCACATGGACTCATGCTCTCCCTGACATAACCTTTGCTCATCAACTCCTCCACTTGCTTTTGAAGCTCCTTCGTCTCCTCGGGGTTGCTTCGGTAAGCTGGTCGATTCGGTATGACAGCTCCAGGTACAAAGTCAATTTGGTGCTCGATGCCTTTGATTGGTGGCAATCCATTTGGCATCTCCTCAGGAAACACATCGTCGAACTCCTACAATAAAGACTTAACCAAACTAGGGAGGGATGTGTTAGAATCCTCAAAATTGAGGAGGGACTCCTTGTACACTAACAATATCATTTGCCTATTATTGCTCATAGCCTTTTTCAACTCACTCTCTTTTGCATAGAAGTTGACCTTTGGCTTTTCTCTCCGCTCAACTGACTCTTTTTCTCTCCTCTCAACTGACTCATTTTCTCTCCGCTCATGTGGCTTCTCTCTCTTTTCTCCACTCTCAGCCACCTCACTATTTTCTCTCTTAGTGATGGTTTCACTATTGCCTCTCCTTTTTCCCGACTTTCTTGTTCTCTCGTCTTCCTCACTTTTCAGCTTGATTTGATCTTCATACACTTGTGCCGGTGTTAAATGGCGCAAGAGTAATAGTCTTCCCATCCTTGACAAAGCTATAACGATTCCTATATCCATCATGTGTGACCCTTTTATCATATTGTCATGGTCTTCCTAACAAGATATGACCCACATGCATAGGCACCACATCACATACTACTTTGTCACTATAACTCCCAATTGAGAAATCAATTAAAACTCTTCTATTCACCCTAACTTCCCCACTTTCATTCAACCATTGCAACTTATAAGGTCTAGGGTGTTTTAACAATGCTAGTCCTAATTTCTCAACTACAGTTGTGCTAGCTACATTCGTGCAACTCCTACCATCAATAATCATACTACATACCTTATCGTTGATGTAAAAACGTGTGTGGAATATATTTTCTCGTTGCTGCTCTGTATCATCCACTTTGACTTGAGTGTTAAGAGCTCTTCTTGACACCAACGATTCCCTAACAGCAAACTCCAATTTTTCTTCTTCTTCAACGTCCTCTAATGCAGTGTCCTCAAACTCTCCTTTACTTTCACTCACCACCTCTCCATTATCCAACAACACCATTACCCGTTTATTTGGGCATTGAGAATCAATGTGCCCTAACCCCAAGCATCTGAAACACTTGATGTCTCGATTCCTTGATGGTTGTGAATCTATTTTGGATGCTGTTTTGCTAGCACTTTCTTCTTTCCCTTTCTGCCACTCATTCCTACCTTTACGTACAGCTTTATCACCTTTGTTGTTGTTGTTCCACCATGGCTTCCAAGATGGATTAACACTCGAAGTTCCTAACGGCTGCCTAGCTGCCCCTTTCCTCTTCAGTTGTCTCTCTACCTTCATAGCCACATGCAACATGTCTTCCAACTCCACATAATGTTGCAATTCCACTACATTGGCAATTTCCCTATTCAACCCATTCAAGAATCGTGCCATGGTAGCCTTCCAATCCTCCACCACATTGGCCCTAATCATGAGTATTTCCATCTCCTTATGATAGTCCTCTACACTTTTCGACCCTTGATATAGACCTTGCAGTTTTTGATGGATCTCTCGGTAATAGTGGCTAGGAACAAACCTCTTTCTCATCAATGACTTCAATTCCTTCCAAATGCTGATTGGTCTTTCCCCACTCCTACGTTGTGAAGTAATCACTTGATCCCACCATGAAAATGCATTGTCACTGAACTCCAAAACTACTAACTTCACCTTTTTCTCCTTCGAGTAGTTATAACACAGGAAGATCATTTCAACCTTCCTTTCCCACTCTAAGTATGCCTCGGGATCACTCCTTCCTTTGAATGAAGGAACTGTCATTTTTATATTTCCCAAATTTCCATCCAACTCCTCCCCGCGATGATTTCAACCCCGTCCGTCGAACCTATCGCCTCTATTCCTCATCCTTCCCATCTCAACACCGTGAAATTCATCTTCGCCCATGTCACTCCCATATCCATACTCTTCTCGCCTTTCCTTCCTAGGCTCCCATCTATCCGGTCCTATGGCATTGGATACATCCACTCGATGTCCTCGACTAAGATTAGCCACCGATGTATCTAATCTATTCATCCAAGCCTCCTGCTTCTCCAACCTATCTCTCACATCTCCAAACGCCCACTCAAACCTCTGCACCAAATCCTCCGATGCATTGCTATTATTGCCTTGTCGGCTTGAATTTTATTATGCCCTTTCTGACATCCTAACACTAAAGATTTTATTTTACTGCCTCACCAAAAGTCACTCGGAAACACACAAGGGCTTTTACCCTCTATTAAGCTCACCTCTCTGCCTTTTACCACTCAATTATTTCAACAATTGCTTCTAGGAACAATCAATGAACTCAATCAATCAATCAAATCGTGTAGAATTCTCAAACGGGATGTGACTCAATAATTGTGACAAAGGACTCAAAGAAAACTTTTAAGACTTCACTTAAATTGAAGGAATGGAATGATTCAATGTGTCCAAGTAATTTAGAAACGATATTGAATAATAAAAGTTGGTATTTGACGAATCAATAATATTTAACAAATTATTTTTTTTACTGTACGGATGAACAGTACCGTACGGATGAACAATAATTTTTTTTCAGATCCGGAAATCAATAACATAACCAACAAAGAAAACGAAAACTGATTTGGACAAAAATTGAGCTCAAAAACGGAATTTGAAGATTTTTGATGAAACTTTTGGATCAAAGGATCAAGAAATCCTTCTAGACATAAGAACACAAGGAATTTAAAAAAATTAGAAAACAAAGAATATAACCTGATTAAATTGGAGCCAAATCTCTGATACCAACTGATGCGAACCCCGTAGCAATGGAAACTACGAAACCCACAACTAGATTGATGCGGAACCCAAGAACGCCAATACTAACCCGATTTTGGATCTTGAACCCCAAGAATTGAACTAAGAAACCCTAGATTAGCGAGGAACCTTGATAAGTGTGTTTTTGCACACTTATTTAGGTCACAAACATGACTTAATAATGAGTAAAATGATTGAATTATGACTTAATCTCGTTATATTTGTGAATTGTAGGGAATACCGATCAACATGGTGAAATTTAGAATAAAAGAGCCGAAAAAGGACTAAAATAGAGCAAAGTGATAGTTCGGGGACCAAGTTGCAAATAATCCATAGATGAGACGGGAAATGGAATGAAGATTCAAGAGTGTTAGAGGTCAATCGGATGAGGAAAGGAGTCAAGAGGTGAAATATGATCGAAATATTATCAAATATCAACTTTCAGGCGAAAAAGCTATGCTCGTGATTTTTAGTCTCTACTTGAGATCCATTTTTGACATAGTAAACATCAGAATTTGAGGAAGCCTATCTCAATCAAAAGTGTATATCTTTGAGTTTTCTTAACAATTCACTTTGAATCACTTCAATCGGAGATCGGGAGGGAAAGTTATGACCAAAATATTAAAAATTGTCCAGCGAAAAGAATGGTATAACTATGCGGTCGCATAGAAGCCTCCCGAGAACTTTTTCTCAAATTTTTTTTACTCTATACGACAACATAGAAATATACTATGCGGTCGCATAGAACAAGATTAAGGGCCGATTCAACAATTTCCTTATTTCGCCGAAACTCTTATGGAAAGGAGATTTTTAGGGTTCTATATAAACTAAAAGTCGACCAGAATGATGGGACGCCACTTTTACAGAAAAAGAGGGGGAATATACACAATTTTGGAGGATTTGGAGAGGAAGAACAAGGCAAAAACAAGGCAATCCACTTCAAGATTCAAGATTTCACTTCAAAAATCAATTGGGTGATGTTCTTCCTTGGTTTTGATTATTTTTTCTCTTTATTTCCCATTATGTTAGGCTAGATTTTCTTGTGTTAGGATTTACGACGAACCTTATATTATGAACCCTTAATCTTTAATTTTATTAATTTGACGTTAAAACATGTTTTTAACTATTGAATGATTGGCATGGATTTTATTTTCTCTACAATTATGTGCGCAATAGTTGTATGAGATTTGTGACTTGTTTTACCCTCGAGAGATGGAAAATAAGTTAGACATTATGTTAATTG